ATTAAATTTTATAAAAATAAATATTTAATAATTTAAAAATTAATATTGGATAATGTTAATAATTTTATAAAAATATTTTGAAATATTCAATAATTAAAAAATTGGAGAGAGAACGAAGATACGAAAGAAAGAAAAATATGAAAATTTTAAATTATTTTTTTTTTGAAAAAATTTAAAATTTTACTATATAATAGTTTAATAATTTAAGAAATTTGAGATTCTTAAAATTTGAATTAATTTAATTTTAATTTTCATATTTTTAAAATATTATGTTTGGATAAATTATTTTAAATTTATTAAATTTTAAATTTTTATATAAATATTGAAATTTTTCGTTGAAACGCACTATTAACGTATTAAGATGGTTTCGTATCGGTGGCATAATCGCAGTGTTGTCAAAATTTTAAGCATGTTAGGTTTTTGGTGGCTATCGCCGGCCAATAGTTTGAATTTCTACATGTTTGGTTCACACTTGACTCTCTGCTTTCTCCTTTTCAAAGAATAAGGTTGACATTCTTTATGGGTGTCTCTGTGGGGGCACTTGCCTTTTTTCCGTCCTCTAAAATGCAATTCTATGTAGGTGAGGTACCATTTGAAACCTGCAGATGAGGCGTCATAATTTTCACAAGCATGCATATTCTATTAACTCTCTATTTCTTAAACAACATAGATCCTTTTTATATTCAAGTTGAACATAAGAATTATTTAACTCAAGAACGCCATGAAATATATGCAGAAACATGACAGAATGCGTAGACATAAGGTTGTTGGTAAGTTTGTAAATTGTATTCACATTTGATTAATTAAGACTTAGGAGGGACTAGGCAAACAACCAGAGATAGAGAAGGAGCCCTGTCTTTGAAGATTGAGAGTCAAGGCCTTAGCCTTACTAGTGTACAATTTCTTTACATTGGCACCCTGATATTGCATCAACCTAGCCAAGCTTCTCTTAGCATTGGCCCTGAAGGGACAATTGGAAGCCAAAAACCCATCCACAAGGTGTAAATAAGCCTCCAAGTCATGACAACATGCCATGTCAGCATCCGGTTTCAGATACGGAGACATCTTAGTATCCACACGGAGCTCTGTTCCCATGTGGGAGTACTCATCCACCATATCCAGCACTCCCCCAACCATGGACCTTCGCAGCTTCCGCTCAACCTCCTCGCTCACCAACATTCCAGGAACCCGCGTTATCACGTCCTGCGAGTTCACAATTCTCAGAACTTTCACGTTTTGGGCCCTGAGCTTCTCCCCGTAGGCCCGGTTACCAACCCTGGGCCCACCAAAGGAAAAAACAGCCACGGGTGGGACGTCGTCGCAGCAAGTGCTGACGTCATCCGCCACCAGCAACGCGAGTGCCGCACCCAAGCTATGCCCCGTGATGCTAATGCTCAGCGCTTCCCCTTTGTACACTTCGATTACCCTTTTCACTTCTGCCATAACAGACTCCGCCAAGCTCGGCACGTGGCTCCCGCGTGTCTTGTAGAGGCTCAGGAAGCCGCACTCCACTTTCGCTTGGGCTTGGGCTAAAGAGGCTTTTTCCACCTCCATCAACTGGGCCCGCATGTTTTCGGCCCATTCCAGACACGTGGCGGTTCCGCGGAGGGAGATGACGATGTCTCTTCTCCCCAGGCGCGCTATCTCTCTTCTGTCCTCGCAAACGGCGACGTATCCGATCCAGCTTGAGCGCTGGGTCATCCAACCGAGGTCGGGTGCCACGTCGTCCACCCATTTGGGTAACCCGATGGATGACGTGGCGTAGAGGGATTTCGTCACGCGGTAGGAGCGGTCGGGTAGGACCATGTGGCGGGGGAGCGGTGGCTCCTCCGCGGACATGGCGGGGTTGCCGTGGAAGGAATGGTACGCGGCTTGTACGAACTCGCCGTAGCGCACCACCTCTCGCCGGAGATTCTCATCCAGAGGGTCCAGCATGCCTTTCCAGTCGTTACTGCCGTGATACTCCCGCCACCGGCTGCCGAGGGGGGTGCGCGGGGGGGACTCCCCCGGCTTCGGGAGTGAGC